TTTTTATAGGCGTTGGTTGTATAACCTGCAAAGATTCCTCGTAATTTTAGGCAAATAGCCTTCGGCACATTCAATAATCCTGCTAGCTCCAGGTTACCAATTTTACAGTCCAAAAGTGTGTAGATAGCAGAACTCAGTAGCCATGGAAACTTTCCTGGCTTTGTGGACAGTAAAGATATGAGATGATATTGTGGGTGCGAAGAGAGCAGAGTTAGCAAGAAAATTATTTGATTTGTGTTGTGGACTCTGTCTATAACCCATAAACATCACACTGCTGTTGTTCCAAATGCATATGCAGACATGAAATCCCTGTTTGCTATGGACTATAAAGTTTATACTGAGATTATGGTGACAAGCAGTCATATTTGAATCATTTTACTTACATTTTTTTTGAAGAATAACGTTATTTCTTGCCTCTGTACTGATAAACAAGCACTGATTACAGATAATTTTACAATACCACATGCATAAAGTATTTAATCTACCAATGTTTGGTTCAGCCTGTTTTTAGACTGGACAAAATCTTTATGTAGTGCTGTTGGTAAGCATGGGTCAGAAATTAGACACAGTTTCTTGCTTTTCTTTCACTGTTTGTTACTAAAACTGCATATACTGTAGATGGAATAATGTTGGAATCTAGACTGTAATTATTGCATTGGACATGTTGGGATTACAATAACAATACATTTAAAAGGCCAAAGGTGGTAGCTGTAAATCTTAAATTGCCTGATATTCTTCTTTATTTATATGTGCTTCTTTTTTGAGTGTTTTTTTCTTCTTGCTCTTACACAGCCACAGCATTCGAAGACAGGTGTATTTTATTAGATCTATGAAAGAAGTGTGCTGCTGACAGCTATCCATCAGCCGCTCCTCACACATCCCCTTAAAGAGGCCTAGCACCTGTCAAGTGTGGAGCCTTTGTGTTTTCTGCCCTGTGCCCTCTGATTGATAGGAAGTGAAGCGCGGGACCTGCTGGGGTTATAATTCCTGACATTACCTGCAGGACTATAAAACTATTGCTGCCGGACATGCAGAGAGAGGGGGAACAACTGCATCTGTACACGGACGCCAGCGGAGTGTTAAGGCCCATGATTTATTGATGAGTGTTTATCATGAGGTGAAATGGCGCCATCAGTCTTTATCAACAACACCAACACTGGGCATTAAAAGAGGAGGATTTATGGAAGTACATGAGCTATGGACTCAGCTGTTTTCATTTTTTGGCAAATATAGTTACACAGCCAGGGAAATACTTTAACAATAATGACAATATTTTGACAATAATGGTCCTGTAGCTAACTTGCATTGTCTAATAAGTTAAAGATACACTGTGTAACATTTCTGGTGGGGGTTTGTTTTGTCACCTGCTTATCTTCACAGAAATGTTGCTTTTCCCAGAGTGTTCCACAAAGTCTCAAGTTGTTTATATTAATACTTTCAAAACAATGCTTTCTTGCTCGACTCTCCACAGATCTGACCTGTAACTTGCCACTTGCTTGTCCTCATTGAGGTAAATAAGCGTAATGCAAAACAGCTGAACATTCCAGACTATAACATCTCCATGGAGGCAATCCGGTGAAAGACTTTAGTGGTCATTTCATTTTCATTTTCATTCTTGTTTTTGTTTTTTATTTTTACTTGGGTTGCCTTAACAACTGCCGAAGTGTGTAGTGATTTAAAATTGCGTTGGCAGTGTGTAAACAGTTTTATACCGAATTGCGTCATTTCTCATACGTTTTGAAACCGCAAAAACAGTCACTTTACGTTGCATTATTCATACACCCCTCACACATGATGATAGCACCCTACTTAGTCACAACTGCCCTGGGGAGGGTAGATATTCTGCACCTACTTCCGTCAGCAGCAATCACATAATAAAACTATGACCAAATGTGTCACAGGGCCAATTCTGCTTGCGATCATATGAAGAAAGTAGCCCTTAATGTTAGAGTTTAAGCATTCAATCTATTTCTTTGTTCCATGATGTGTGCCTTCAGTGAGAGCAAAAGTGTGTGTTTTTTTTTTTTTTTTTTTTTTTCTGAACCAGATTGTTTGTGGCACTAGGGTCCCGCTCCACAGAATGATGTTAACTGTCCAGGAAGCTCGGGTAAAGCCCCTCTGGCAAACACAAGCTGGCTCCGCTGCCCCTCGGTGGGAGGCGACCGGGCCCCCTGCCGACTCACAAATCAAAAAAAGGTCCAGGTTCTGACAGGTCCTACTAGCCACCTGGACCCCTGCATGTCTGCTCCTCTGTTTCTGCTTTCCCGTGGCTGTGTGCGAGGCCATGAATTATTAACCTGGCTAAAATAAAAAGCTCTACTCTGTCCAGGCCTCCTGTAGCAATGAATAATGGAGGAGGCAGCTCAACTATAGGCGTTTGGTGAGTCAAACATGAGGCCGTGATGGATGGCTAAGGCCTGTGTGTCCACCCCTCCCTCACCACCAGCCTCTGTGGATCCAACCACACCCCAAACCCAAACACAAATCCACATCAGCACAACTGGCCTTGGCTGTGTCACACTTAGCTTAGCATTTCTGCCACTACACACACATTTACTGAAGGGAGTTGTGTTTTTCATTCTTTTATTTTACTCCTCATTGGCACTTTTGAGGTTATAAGTCTGTTTTGATTTCATTTCAAAACACAGTAACTCAGCCCTGTCTGTCTCCTTCACAAGCAGCAATTCTCTCTTTTAAAAATGACCAATATTTAGGCACATACTGTTATACACACATCTTCTGTTTAAAGATAAAACACACACTTTGACTGAAATATTAGGTGGAGGATGGAAATGTAAGAATAATAATTAAAGTGCACTAGGTAACATTTCTGCTGGGCATCCATCTCCCACTTGTCTCCATAGAGATAATATTGCTTTGCAGGGATGGTTCGACAGTATGAAATTAAACTGATCTTGCCATTTTGCATTTATTCAGTTTCAGGCATTTTTGATTTAAAAAAAAAAAAAAGAAAAAAAAAACTTGAAAAACATACATTCTTACAGTGAATTTGGTCAATTCTAAACAGATTTAACCCGTTACTTGGCTTTGTAGCATCATCTGCTTGTCTCCTTCGCGATAAATAAACTTAATGCAACAGTGTGGAATATTCTAAGCAAATAGCGAACTCATCACCACAAAAGCTGCAACATGCACCTTTACATTCTCCATTGTCTTTGTTTTTCTTTTTAATTTGGTGAATTGCGCAGGTGGCACTGTATTCTCTTACACTGACTTCTAATTTGTGTAAGTCTCTTAGGAAAGAATGCTCCAAACAACTCATTTGTAACGTGTACGTGATATATTTAGCCATAGCGTGAACTTACAGTATATGTGTATCTCATTATGTTCACAAGGATAAATCTGGCACAGGGTTTTTCAGGCCTGCAAACTGATTGGGTGTAATGGAATGCAGTAGGTCCATGCGGAAACAAGACAAATGTCTGGTTGCATTGCATAATATGGCACATCATGTATATTCATGAATAATTGTGACACTAAGTATTCAGTTTCGTGTCATAAACAAACTCAGATCTTAGTGACAAAAGTCTCAAATTAATCCACTGGTTATTGATGGGGGCTGCAAATGACATTTTAATTGCTAATAAGCTTTCTGGCAAATTGTGCAATTGCTATTTAATTGCCAATTGGTGCACTGATGTAAAATGACATAATAGGCATTTGACTTAATAGTTTAATAAATGTCACATTGTCTCTACAAAACATTCCCTCACTCCAATTAATCCTTTGAGACTGATATAACATAATAGAGCAGTACATTAAACTAAGATGGCTATAAAACGCTTTATTAACTGTTATTGTGCACATTAAATATGTATGCTGGGCTGATCCGTAATATAGTTTGTAAAAGGTTTTGGATGAAATAAAGTTAATGCACACAGTGTGGTCTTCATTAAGTTCACTTTGTATTTGGACCATATCATTTATGTAGCTCTGCAATGAGAAAAGGATAAGATTAACACTTTAATATACATAAATTAGTCATTGTGACAAAATGATATCACAATATATTTTTCAGAGTATTATGATAACAATATATATTATGTCAATCCAGCGGAAATGTACTAAAATATGTCTTTAAATGTATTAACTGAGATTTACATATCTTCAAACAACATTCACAATATGATCTATACTTTGATATCTGCCCACCTCTACCTGTACGTGTGTTTCTCATTCCAAGTTTGCTTTTTGACAAACACTGTTCTTGGTGGCTAAAATCTTTTTTTCTTTTTTTTTTTTTTTTTACAGTACAGACAGTATACTACAGTATATATAGTATAATTGCAGTATTCCTATAATGCATATACCATTAGTGCTGCTGCTATACCTATGTATATTCTGATTACACAAGATTGTTCAGAACCACTGGGTTTATTTATTAAAAAAAAAAAAAAAGTTGTCCATATTATTAGATCTGAGCACAATATATTTTAATATGTAAGCTACATTCATAACATTACTCAGTTAATGACATCTATAAAATACATACATACATCTAGTTAACTAAATATAACCTGCTACAGTTCATGTTTTTACACTATGCATATCTAATCAGAGTAGTATTTTGTATCTGTGGTGATCCAAGTGGAATATAATTCAAAGTATAAAGTACAAAGTGGAGGAATGACTTGAGGATTGGTTGAACTCATGGCAGCTCTTTTGTGCTCTGATCGTTTGATGAAACTCTTTACTGGCTCTCCCTTGTGACTCCACCCCCTCCTCCCACTCCGAGGCCTGGCCTGCTCCGCTCTTCTCTCGAATCAAGCAACATCTCCCACTGCCCTCCCTCACTTTCATTTACTTCTTTTTCAAACACTTGTCTCACACTTTTCAATTATTTAAGGGTCATGTTTTGTCATGTCTTACAGTCCCCCTTGTTGAGCGTTGATAATCTGGAGTTTCACAGTGCAGTAACCTTGGTGTAGTCAGTATGTGCTGTTAAATATAGATCCGATATGCTGTGTGACTGGCCTCACCTTGGTCGTCTTAACTTTGTTTCCTGTACTGCAGCTCCATCCTTTGAGATCTGGCAATACTTTACACTCCTCCCCATCCATGCACGGATGCATCTGGCACCACCACTTCTGTGCTACTATGGAGGCTGGAAAAACACACACGGACAGAAATGAAATATTATCTAAAGAAGTGCATGAGAAAGGCTCTGAACCAACTGAAATATTTTTGACTGAATCTGCAACATTGACCAGTATATCTAAATATAGAAATCTATCTTTAGAAAGTTGAACGCAACCAGAACAGCTTTCGCATGAAATGTTAATGTGGCTTGTAACTCAAAGTTACAATCTATTTGAGCCACAAAAATACTGTGTATGTGTTTTGTTGCTTTTGAGTAAGAAAAATTATAGTTTTGGATCTTAATACATGTACTACTGTATTTTGTCTTGGGAAGCCTATGAAGGCTGCTGTGCAATGTACAAATGTTCAAAATGTTAGAAACCACAAAGGAGAAAGGAGTGAAATATTGATGCACTTGTGTTATCTGCACGGTACAATACATGCGTTTCCACTTTATTGCCTTGAATTGAAAGAAATCTTTAAAAAAAAATCATCCCAATTACTCAGCTATACACATCCACTGACAATTCACTGTACTTCCCAGACATTTGGATTGACATCTGAAATCAGAGCCAATGCAGTGAGTTAGTTTATGTATTTAAAGGGATGGTGCTAAAACCCCTCACTCACATCACTGTGCACCATAACACCACTTAATAAATACAGTTTAATATAAAACTGTGTATACAACAACGAGCACACCACTTAAGTCTTGTCTTGTGTCTAGGAGAAGAGACCTGTCACTCTTGGCCCACATGTTTCCTGGTCTGGATTACACGCTCTGGCTCTATAGTGTGAGGAGTGAGCGGGGGCTTATCTAACAGTGTTAATAAAGGCTACAGTGGAGGTGGGTATGTCAAGGTTCTTCTCAGTTTCTGTAAGACAGCCCACACTGGAGACACTGCAGTGGTTTAAGTTAAAGGAGAACTGTCAAAAATGGAGAAAGTCCGTGTCAAAGCCATTCCAGTGAAATTGGTGAAGATTGAATCGATTCACCTGTAACAGAGGCCACTTTTGACATGATATTAAATGACCTTGCCTGCTGCGTGTTATTGCCCATAACTCAGAAGTGTGATAAATCTCTGAAGGTAAACAGCAGTGTGGAGGGATTGTATCAAGTGCTGTTCACTTTTAAAGACAGTAGTTATTGCAGAGCTCCTGATGAAACTAATTGGTAGATGTGTAACCTATAATTTCAAAGACTGAATAAAAAAAAAATTAAAAAAAAATTTAAATACTCTAACACAGTTCACAGTTATGTTCTGTTAGTGTATTAGTAGTACTTTTAGCAATTAGTGATGTTTTTGTTATAATGGTATGTATGTATAGGGTAATACAATATAATGATTTTTGACAGAGATAGGAAAACACATCGTGCCTCATCGAGGATCCTTATATGATCTGCTCTGACTGGACTCCACAGTCTCTGCTTTAGGCCATGGGACAGACATGTGAAAGCCCACATTCATGGACAGCTGTTATCGAACACTCTGATTCAGTGGAAAACTTGTGGGAGTCAGGGCCAAAATATTGCTGGTAAAGAGTTTATATTTTATTACCACAGTTTGAAAAAGACATGTTTGCTTTCTTTTAAAGCATTTAAAAATCAAATGGCCCTATAGGTGCATATATTGCAGCAGGTTTAAAAAAGTTTGCACCTGTCTCTCCAGCCTACTATATTATCACACAATTTTAGCTCTCGTAGTTGTAATAAATCTGGCAGCACCTGCTAAACAACGTCATTTGCATTTCCTTTGCCTCAGATTTTGTGCATATTCATTCACTCATAGGAGCAAAATTCTGCTGCGTCGTCTTTAGTGTTTGTTTAAGAAACTGTGTCAGGGTTTTGCTCCACTTTTAGAGTTGTTAGTGGTTTAAGACATGAGTGTTGATAAATGAAGCCCCATATACACAATTTACTAGCAAAATAATTAATTTAGTGTTCTTAGTGCTCTTAGTATTCTTTGACTCCCCACTTTCCTTTTTCAACATCTTATTACTCTAAAGAACAAACCCATTTCCAGCAATGGCTCAAATGTCAAATGCATACCGTCTACACAAGATGGTGCAGCTCTTGTGGTCCCTGCCACTTGTCCGGGGAAGCAGGAACACTTGACAGTCTGGGATCTCTCCTCGATCTTGTTCTTGTTGCAGCATCGGTGTGCAGCAATTACTTCACAGGTGCCCGCCTTCACATGAACTGCAGACAGAAGCACACACAACGGGGAAATGCACATGTCAGCCTAATACAGAGCCTGTCAAAAATGTTACCATGAGAATCAATGTAACAGGGAATGGATAGGTTAGGAAATAGATGCTCTCCATTTCCAGGTCAAATGTGTGTCTAAGAAAAAGTTTGAAGTAGTACTGAATATAGCACGTATTTCATGATGTTGATATATCTTCTATGTACATCTCATTGATGAGGAAATCATGTAACACTGCGATAAACATTGAGTAATACTGTAGTAGTTCTTTTTTATTCATGTTTAGGACAGGGGTCTCCAGCCTTTTTCTTGCCGTGAGCTAACCTTTACAAAACGAAAATGCCAGAGAGCTGCTAGTTTTAGCGGTTACAAGAAATTGAGTAAGTATAAGCACCATGGACAGTTAGATGCCTATAAAACATAAACATTATCGTGTACAGTCATGTATGAAAGTTAAGCATCAAAATAATACATGCATAATGGTAATAGGCATTTAATTAATCAAATTTTGCTTATTCAGCACAATACGTCCAATTCAGAAATCCCTTGACAAGCTACTTGGAAAGGGGTGGAGAGCTACCAGTAGCTCCCGAGCTACAGGTTGGAAACCCCTAGTTTAGGAGTTACCATGGTGACACAATGCACACATTAGCAAACACAGCCAAAAAAAAGTTTTAAGATTATGACAGAGCAGTGCCTACAGTTACAGAGCATCACACCTCCAGGGAATGTTGATGACATGGAAACGTGGTGATTTAAGCTTGTGGGCTGAACACTGGACAGAATCTTACTGCCAACCATAAGGAGGGCTCGGGAGAGACTGACATGTTCAGGCATGTTTGACATAAGGGAATAACATTATAACATGGTAGAAAGCCCACAAAAGTTGGTTTTGCATAATACCCCCGGTTCAGTGTTAGGTGTATAATTTTTTCTTGCTTATAAACGTGTATAATATCATGCCTACATGTTTGCTTGTACATTTGTTTGCTTGATATTTTTCTAAATCCCATATTTATGCAAAGATTCCGTTCAACCTAATTACTGAATTTATAAATGCAAGTAAATCAGAAAAATGTTTTGCTTTACCAAGAGAAAAGTTAAGCAGATTCTTATTTACAGTGTGTAGAGTAGTAATGAGTCATTTTGTCGCTTGTTGTGAAACCGAAGAGGTCATTTACATTAAATAAAAACTCAATCTGGCCAGATCTGCAATAAAAACAACAACACAGTAGTAGTGTTAGCTCTGCTGAGACACAGAACCTGTATCCTCGGGAAATACAAGCACCCTGCGGACTCGCTTGGCAAAATGACACTCAGAAAAGTTTCACAAATTCATCAAAATAAAGTCCTGTCCAGGCTAAAAACTTCAGCACAACAGTGATGCCGTAAAACAGCACAGCAGTACAGAACACACAGCCACTGATTCACGTGTTTTCTGATATTCCAAAAAAAAAAAAAAAAAGTGAATATAAAATTCACTGCACAGCATTAATTATTGGTAAGGGAAATGTGTCTGTAGAGTAAACATAAAGTGGTGCTTTACAGAACAAGAACATATTAAAACAATAAAATTGCAATATAATTAAACATAGTTTTTTTATTATTATTATTTCACCAGTTGTTCTTAACATAAAGGTGTATTTTGCACTTTAGAAAAGGTATCATTCAAAAATTAAGACAAATGACTAGCTAATATGGCTGATAAACTAGGGTGACCATATTTCTGTTTGTGAAAACCCGGACACCTCACCGGGGGTGGGAAGTGGGGCCTCGACATTGAGCTACTCTCACCTCGCAACCTGTGCACATGGCCTCCCACTTGTCTCGACCGGGATGGAAAATGGAGAATTTCTTGTACAAGTCATTGTTAACCCGGACATTTCCATCACTTAAAAAAAAAAAAAAAAAAAACAGGACAGGATGCAAAAAACAGACATGTCCGAGGAAAAAACGGGCATTTGATCACCCTATGTTAAACTTAAGCACAACATTGTGAGTTCTATAATATGAGCGTTCCCACAATATCACAGTAAATATTGTACCATGAGGTTTATACTGGAATAATATCATACCGTGCGATTTGGATATCATTACATCCTTGTAAAACGATAGCCACACAACAACACACGTATGATATTACAGGATTGAGTTTTGGCATACTTTGTTGAAAAGACTAATGCAGAAGAGTAACTAATAGTAAACTACATTAGAACAATAATGACTATTCAGCATTTTCTTTTCATTTTACTTTGACCTGTATTGAGCTCTTTCAGCAGCTGGTACACAAATACACATGAGAGATTACTGGATAGAAAGATATGAGCCAGTTATTGGCTGAATATAATACATTGGTCTTGCAAACAGATGGAGCCAAAGCCTGATGATTGAGTTCTAATGCCCATAACTATAAACAATAAACACAAACTTCATACATCAATTTTGTCTAAGTATTTCATTAAATCAAATCCTCAAATAAATGACATAGACCTGGCTTGAACTAGATTGAGTGCCTGGTCAGCAGCTGAGCAAATACAACTACTGTACTTGTAATTTCCCACATGGATCAGCCTAACTGCGTTCAATATACAAGAGCTTCTTGGACAATCAACTATGCATTATGCATGGAGACCCACAGAGGCTGTTCATACTCTGCTCTACACAAACTGCAAATACAGACACGTCTTTGAGGAAATGAAATTCTGGTGCTATCCATTATGATGTGCAGCAACTAAATATAGTGGAAATGGACCAATCCACTGAGATGTCAACCGAAACTGACTGCAAACAGGAGTATGATTTCAAACACTGTTAGAAACTTTATAAACCTATTTAAAGCAATGCTGTGTAACTTTATTGTTGCAGCACTTTATGTATGTTGGGCTATGAAAATAGTTAGTTCAAACTCTACTTGCACATTCTCCATAGGTATAAAATATATGCTTTTATTTTAATATCTGTCTTATTTACATAAGGGCCTGGTCAAGCAGAAGTAAACAGCAAGGCCAAAAATTCAAGTTAATGCATCTGATATAAAAATGTATTGAACAGATACATATGTACTCTAGTTTATGAAACTGTTGACCTTTTTTCTGTACCATTTTTGGTTCTAAAGTTACATCCGTTTTAAACAGACCATGTATGAAACATGGAACAAAAATTATTTCCCAAATTTCAAAGACCTGCAAATCATGTAAATAAATGGATGTATTTCATCATATCTTGTGTTATTCCATCTTTGAACTGTTGATGAAGGTACATGATTTAAAAAAAAATATATATATATTTAAAATGATAAAAATTTGCTTTAAAGGACTGGCATATTTTATAGAAATAGTTTCCTTTCATTTTGAAGTAATATTAAAGTATTCGGAAGAAAAAAGCTGACAAATGATGTAAAATCCTGCACCTTCTACTTGCTTGCACAATTTTCCCTCTGTTACTTTTCCCTGCGTTACCATGACCTTTCTTAATAAAAAATCTCATTACTCAAAAAGCAAGAGGTTTTTCAACCTAATCTTGTACCATATGGTAGAAAACTATATGAAGCAAATATTCAAACCAGTTTGTTAAGGATATGTAAGTGAGAACCAAGAGTTATCACTGTTTGGATTTATTACCCAAAAAGTGCTGCATATTTCATTCCCTCCGTTACCGATATGAGTTTTTTTATTTTTTGTCAACAACTTGAAAGAATATCGCAGGGTTAACTTTACCCTGTTGGAGTGTTAACTCTTTCCTATATTCTGACACTTATTTATATTTGAGTTATATTGAGCTATTTGAATGTAAAAAATCGGCCCGTTTCCCTTCATTACCGCTTGACCGGACCCATAACTATAGCTAGTATAGAGATATAAAAATATAATAAAAATATTTTCACACCTCACCTATTTAGAACCAGAATCTGTAAAGTTTTTATTACCACTGTCACTGAATAACATTCACCAACCAGAAAATTGCTTTACCAATATAGTGCAAGATAAAACAGTGAATATGTGAATAAAACAGTGAATAAAACAGTAAAATATAAACTACGATCAGATAACAGCATGTATGAACAATAAGGTGTTCAATAAAATAGTTTTTGACTGATTATAAATATAAAGACATATGGACAGAACCACAGTGCAAAACTAGATCTGAAAATTATTGTTGAAATGTGTTGACATGTGTCATTAAGAGAAAAAGAGTCCAACAGCAGATGGGAAGAAACTTTGGTTTTGGTTCTGACACAAAAGGACTGTAGCACCTGCCCGAGGAGAGTGTTCAGGGTGAGAAGGGTCAGCTGTGATCCAACTGCTTGCCTCCATGTTCTGAGGATGTACTGATCCTGGAGAGATGGGAGGCTGCAGCTGATCACCTTTTCAGTGGAGCACCCGATGTGCTGCAGTCTGTGTCTGTCCCTGGCAGTGGCCCTGGTGATGGAGGAAGTGTGGATGAACTGCTCCATCATCTGGCCTGGAGCTTGGCTTTCCTCAGTTGCCGCAGGAAATACATCCTCCGCTGGGCCTTCTTGATGAGGGAGCTGAGGGTCATCCACGGGGAGTCCATGGTGGTAATGGAGGTGTCTGTCAGGACAAGGGGAGGGGGGGGGGACTTTCCTGAAGTGATTGTGGTCCTGATTGTGGGGAAGGATATGAAATTGTAGAAATACTATTTGTCATTTGCCCTGTATAATGTAAGAAATTCACAAGACATCACTGCATATCATACAGGTAGACACAATCATATACAATGGAGATGTATAAATAAAGATGTTGAAACATAGATTGTTGCATTAGCGACCTCCATAACTCTGCTTGGATGGAACTTCGAGCATTTTTCAATTCAACGATGCCAAATACACGTGTTATTTGAAATCCAGGTCATTACTCGGTGGAGGAGCCCTGGTCTGAACCCATCAGCTCCACCTTTCCCCATCTCCTTGAGCAACACAGTTAATCCAATGACCCAGGCCTTCAGCAGAGGACGAATCTCCGCCAGGGACTCT